CGTTAGGGGGCAGCGAGGCTGATTAAAGGCGGCATCAGGCGACCCGTACGCCCGGTCCCCCCCTCGCCAAAAGGTTACCGTAATACGGCTGGTTCTGCGTTTGGAACCATCAAAACCCCTTCATGAGAAACATTGTTTCTTCTGCAAAAATAGAAGAGAACCAATTGAAGTTGAACCCTTAAAGGAAAAAATCCACCTTCCTTGATTAATGGTGCGTACTTAACCTTTTTTGTGGTGGGGAATGTGGTGCCGCGTGGGACTGTGAATGGCCGAAGCCGCAAGCTGCTGATGTTGTTGTTTCTACTGCTGCTGCTGCAGCTGGTGCTGCTGCTGCTGTTGTTGTTGTTGTTGTTGTTGTTGTTGTTGTTGTTGTTGTTGTTGTTGTTGTTGTTGTTGTTGTTGTTGTTGTTGTTGTTGTTGTTGTTGTTGTTCTTGTTCTTGTTGTTGTTGTTCTTGTTGTTCTTGTTGTTGCTTCGCGGCCTGCTGCTTCGCCCGTTTCTCAGCCTTCTCCTTTGCCTTCTTCTCCTGACGCTTCTTGTGGGCGGCAATGATCTTGTCTGACAGACAAGGTGCCGTCGTGTCGGGGCCATGGGGCACGACACTGACAAGCCCCCACTGGTGCTGCAGCTGCACGGGTGTCTCGGCCTTGGCTTCGGGGATTGCTGGTGACGCGGGCTCTGGTATAACTGCAGCTGTATCCGCGTGCCAGAAGAACGAGCGGGCATCATCCCCGCCGTCCACACTTGCGGTATCCTTCTTCTTCGTGTTCCTCTTCTTCTTCTTTTCCTTGTCATCCTTCTTCTTCTTCCCGCCCGCCACGTGCGTCTCCGCCCTCTGCTTCTCCTGCTCCTTCGTCTGCGCTCGGGTCTGAACCTGCTTGCCTGCCTCGCGCTCTTGCACGCGCTGGGGGACACGGGGGGACTCTTGGGCAAGCTGCATGCTTGGGTGGATCTGCTTGCTGATCCGCCTGAAGACCCGCTTGCCTGTCCGCCTGCTCATCTTCTTCATCACCCTTGCTCGCCCTGGGACGCAGTGTTGATGTGGGTCGTTGTCCTGGTTCAGGGGCGGCCGTAGGGTGCTGAAGTTGTCCGGCATCGGCGCCAGCATCTGCTCCCGGCCGTCGAGGCGCACCGGTCCGCAGAAGAAGGCGACGGCACCGGCGATGAAGTCGCCGTCTGCCCGGATGTGCCGGTCGACAGCAGCTACCGCGGGCCAGAACCCCAGCCGGTTGGCTGTGGCGGGGCTGGGGCTGTGGTGTCGGCGGTGGTGGCCGCCGTGGCTGTGGTGTCGGTGGTGGTGTCGGTAGTGGCAGCAGCGGTGGTATCGGCGGTGGTGTCGGCGGTTGTGTCAGCTGTGGCTGTGGCTGTGGTGGTAGTGGTGTCGGCCGTGGCAGCAGCGGCCGCCTCCGCCGCCATTGCGGCCTCAAACAACGCTTGCGCCCGCTTCCGTGCAACACCTGCAGTTGTGCTTGTTGATGAGAATGCGACACTTGCTCTTTGTTGATACCCAGTGACCACACCATAAACATTGCTGATGTGACTATGAGTGTGGATTGAGGCGCAGTTTGCAAATCAGGTGCTGGGACATGCACTAACCGGCGCGTTTGAAGACATCGCAGCCCGCCAAGATCGCCACGATGCCATCTGCCATGCAAAGCTTGTGACGTTTGCGAATGCAGACGCCACGAAGCCCCACGCGACCCGCCTTGCGCTGCAGTGTGTGGCGGAATACGATGATGCCATCCCCTGCGTCGTGCAGCAGCATGTCACTGTCTGACGAGGGGAACAGCGCGACGTGTATCTCCTGCACGTACGTGTGTGTGTGTGTGCATGAATGTGAGTGGCGTGAGGGTGTGTCAACATGCTTTTCATCTGTGTGTGCATGTGCGGCGTGTGTGGGTGCTGCGTTGGTGCGAGTGCAGCCTCGCTGAAGCTTGTTTGTGCACGTCTCACCTTGCGACGGAGCATTGCTGCTAGCTGGTGGTCGGCCTCGCCCGGTGCGGTTGTGAACTCGGCGCTGGTCTTCTGCTCGATGGCGGCGCGCAGCTGTCTCACCAAGCAGCTTGGGGTTCCCGAGTCCCGCAGCTTGTACGCCGTCGGGGTCTCGTCGACGATGATGACGCGCCGGAACATCTTGGTGAGAGTCTGGACGTGTCGCACGATTCGGCCGGTGATTCGGGCACAGCACGCCTGGCTCAGCTGGTTGCATGCTGGATTCTGCATATGCTGCCGTAGTGATGTCCTGTCACGCCTCCACAGAAACCTGTGGATGACGCCATGGAGCTCGACGCCGCACACGCGATCTTGCGTGCTTATCGTGGAGCGCCTGCTCGCCCAGTCCTTGCCCAGAATACCGGCAACGCTGCCGTAGCCCGTCAAGCCCATGGCACGTGTCAGTCCCTAGTTGCTGGTCGATGGAGAAGGAGCCGACGGCCCTGAGTGTGCGTTTGTATGCTTGGAGTTGCGTGTATGCGTTGAGCGTGTGTTGTCGGCGCAGTGTATGTGTGTAAATGGTGCATCTGTGTGCGTCTCTGTGTGTCAAACCCTCAGTTTAGGCGCGTCTTTTGTTACATTCTTGCCTGGGCGTGGACATTGGAATGCACGCGGCGTCATTCCACGCCTTTTTGCGTGCTTGGAAGTGCAATTGGGTTGGGACGCCAAGCCCAAATAAAAATTTGACAAGAATTACCCTTCAGGTGACGCTTAGATGACTTTTTTCCGTCGTGCTTGCTTGCCGCCTTCTTTCTCGCTGCCCCAAATCGAGAAACAAGGAAACAAGCAAGCACAACACAATCACAATCACAATCCCACGGACGATGAGCTTTGCAAACAGAAAGTAAACCCATGTGCCAACGCCTACAACGGGCAGAGCGGCGAAATGTAGCTGCCAAACAAACGCACAACATACATGCTACCAAGCAACACTCCCAACACCCCCACAAGACAACGCTTTGCCAAGTGCAAGGTGCGGCGACGCACAGCGCAATGACAAGCGGCCATGAATGCGCCGGTGCTTGTGTGTTGTGACCAGCCAACCCTGGAAGTGCCCAGCTGACAAGTCAGTGGCCACAACCTCTACACGGCGGCCTTAGCGGTCCACACAGCACCAGAACGCACACACAACCCACCGTCACAACGCTACACGACACCAACATCTCACACAAAGGCGCGGCGGCCACGTTTTACTCCCCTCCCCAACAACATACATACAGCACTGCAACAATCTCAGACGCTTACGCAACAGACGCAAACACCGAAATCACACACCCCACCCCATGCCCGCATCGCCAGCAAGCTGCATGTCCTTCTCGTCAGGCAGGCGTAGCTCAGGCTCTGTCAGCAGCATCTGCACCGGGCCAACAGCAGACGTCGACACTGACCCCGATGTTGTTGTTGTCGAGGCAACAGTCATCATTATCGCAGGCTCGCTGGTCGTGGTTGTCGTTGTGCTTGTTGTCGTGGTCGTCTCGCCAACAGGGGTGTAGTAGAAGAAGTGGCAGTTGTGACCCGATGTATCCAGCACAAAGCCGTCAGGACAAGTGCACACACACACGAGCCACACGTGCTCGCGCTACTGCAAGAACACTCGTGCGTGCTCCTTGAGCACTCGTCCACATCCTCGCACGTGTGCCCGTCGCTGTCCAGCTCATACCCGGCACCGCAGCTGCACGTGTACGACCCAATCGTGTTCGTGCACGAGCCAACAAGCGCGTCGCACTCGTTGTCCGCCTCATCCGCGCACTCGTTCACGTCCTCGCAGTCGCGCCCGTTGGACGCAAGCTGCCACCCGCTCTCGCAGCTGCACTGGTACGACCCGGCCGTGTTGCTGCACACCCCGCGCGCCTCGTCGCACCCGTTGCTGTCGCTGCTCGCGCACTCGTCGATGTCTCGATCACACGTGTACCCGGTAACCCCCTGCGAAACGTTGAATGTTGTGGAAAGCACTGTTAGTCAGCATCATGAAGGCACAACATATTGTGTTCTTTCTTGTTGCACGTGACCCTTACACCAGCACAACAACGCTTTGATTCGCTCTTATTCCACGCAGAAGGCACAATGCATTCTTCCCTTCCCGCTCTTCCGGTGCTTTCTTACCGATGGGCAGTCGCATGTGTACCCGCGGTCCGCTGTCTCGTCCATCGTGCACGTGCCGCCGTTCTGGCACACGTCGAGGTCGCACGCGGCCTGGCACGAGTCTCCAATGTACCCATTCTGGCACACACACTCGCCCGTGTC